TTCGATGATGTTACTGTAAAAACTAGACTTATAAAATAGAGCTAGAACTTGTGAAACTGGGCAAATGTGCTGGTCTTTGAAGAGAAACCGGATGAACCAACCAGGTTACCAGAATTTCTGGGTTCCAAAGGAAAAGAGTACATGCTGGCAAACATGTAAACTAGAGGTATGGTTTCACCTTACCTTTTCAGGCTATCTGAAATGGCAGCTTGGCGGGACTTCAGTCAAATACCAAAGTAGTAAGGATATGTTGTAAAGTAAGTATCAGGGTTGGGATGAACTCTACAAGGCCATAACAGTTTAATGATATGCCCTGACTACCAGTGTTGGTCTCGGCCATAACGATACCAGGTCAGTTATAAGAATGGGATACAGAAGATTCTGGAAAGTTTAGTACAAGGTCAAAGGTTCCAAAAAACTGCTTTAAAGACTTAGTGGTTATGGCATATTTTCATTAGCATTGGCCAGAGTTGTTAGTAGACAGAGGTAGGTGGATGAATACGGAAACAGAATGGTTAAATAGAAAACCTACAAGTGGGTTCCAGGTATAGCAGCTAGTGTAAAACCTTCAGGTGGACTACTTAAATTAGACAATGACTAAAGTTTTATAAGTGGCTAGTTGTACACTCTCTTCATGGTTGCCCCTTGTGGTTGTAAAGCAATTATTAGCCAAATATACTATCAATAAAATTCTGGGTCACAAGTACTCACCTTAATATTTAAAAAAAAAAAAATAAAATAAAAAAAAACCTAAAATTTTTCCAATAGTCTTTACTATTTATTTTATATCCTGGTATTAATAAACACTTATATATAAAGGCCTACGTTGAGTCCTATAGCTCAGCCCGGTTCAGTCTGCAAATTTTTGCAAGCCAGGTCATGCCTGAAGCAAAATTTTATAATTGCGAGCTGGACCAGGCCAAAAAATTTGCAAAACTTTATAATTGTGGGCTAGTGAAGGCCTAAAAATTTGTAAAATTATATAAGAAATTTTTGCAAGCCAGGCTGAGCTGGGCTGAAGAAAAAATTTAACATATGCAGGCTGGGCTGGAGTGGCAAAAAAATGGTAATCCTAAATATGGGCTAGGCCAGGCCTAAAAAAAATTTTTAACCCTAACTGCAGGCCAGGCCTAAAAAAAATTTTTAACTCTAACTGCAGGCCAGGCCAGGCCTCAAAAATAGGCAATTTGCAGGCTCCTAATTACATATATATTTGAGCAGATGATACTTTGCAAATCATAGCCAAGCTTCTGGTATTTTTAAATTACTAATATAGTTTAAGCTATATTTAAATAATATATATTGAATATAACTATTTTTTTCTTATTTCTCAAAAATATCTTAAATATTAGACATGTTTAACATATAAATTTTATTAACTAAGACTTTTATTTAATAAGTATGAACTAACAACTGATCGATCTAGTAAATAATTAGTGAAGAAAAGGAGGAATATATACTTCATAGATTTTTATTTCACATCGATATCACCAATTTATAAGAAAAAAATATTAATATAAAAATATATCTCTCAATTGTAATCTCAAGAATAGTATTAGAAAAATAGTAGACAACTTGAGTCTCATGTATATGAGGGCCTAGTAAAAATTCTCAAAACTAGTAATATTTACATCACTATTCTGGACCTTCTTCTGATATTTATTTCTGAATTTTAGCTAAGATTGCATCATTTTAGCTAATATTGAATCTATTTTTATTGTCTGAGATAGTGAAAAAGCCTGTGTTTAAAGTTTTGAACTGTTGCTTGTCACTGATTCAGAGTTAGACTCTTCTGATTCTGTATTGCCTATAGCATAATTATCATCTGCATTAAGATAATCTGATTTTTGTTTCAATGCAATTCTTGTAAGCAAACTAGGATACTAGAGAGTCAAGTTTAAATCTTTATAAATTCTAAAAGCATGCTTATTTCTGTAATCTTTTATCTTTTTAAGTAGGGTTTTATAAGGCTCCTGCTTTAAGAATTCATTAAAAGATGTATCATTATGTTTACTACTTTTAGTAAAGCAGGATTATGTAACTTTGTAGCCCTAATTGCCTCTTGAATTTAGGTAAGCAATTCCCTTGTATGTTCTGAATTTCTTTTCATAAAAAGAAATAGTTTGGACATAAGATTCTTTTTCTTTTTACTTCTACTTTTTAGATAATTTGTATAATACTAAGAATAGCTATCTTTATACCATGCTGAAATATTTGAAAAGTCTGATTTATAGTAATTAATCTGAAGAGATCTTACTTCTGCAGGTCTTATACTTGACATTACTATCATATCTGCAAGATCCTTTCTAGTAGGAATTTTAAAAGTATCTATATTTTGAAGCCTCTTAGATACTCTTGCTAAGAAGAAATAAACAGAAATTTTATCCAAATTAGCCATTTGCTTTTTAGTTTATTTTTTCTGAATTTTATTAGATTCTTGAATAAGTTTCTGATCTTTAGCTCAAGCATTAATAATTTTAGAATTTATCTTACCTTTTGCTAACTTTATATGAAATTGTATAAATTCTAAATCCTTAAACTAACTAACTTTGAATTAACTTTAATATACAATGCTATGTTCTAATAAAAGAAAACAATATACATTTAAATTATCTAAAAAATAAGGTTGTTTTATATTATAAAAAGAGATAATAATAGATGCAGATATGATATAAGAGTTGTTACAAGACAAAATTGTAGAAAAAAAAATGCTACAACTTGAATCTATAAATGAAATTACTATAACACAAGAAAAGACTGCTAAAGTAAAAAAAGTTCTATATATTAAAATGTCAAAAACAATAGCTTAGAGAAAAAAACAAAAAATTAATACATTATTAAATATTAAAGCATTACTTGATTTGTTATATCTATTTTTAGCTACTAATATTATAAATAATTATAGTCACTACAACTTTCTTTTATAGTATTATTAGCAAGTGTCTTATTACTAATAAATTTAATACAATTATTTATATTAAATTTCTTTGTAACACCAATATTCTTTCAATAACTGCTTATGACTTATAATTACCTATTGAAGCTAAAAAAAAACTTAAAATATATTTAAAAAAATTAATATACAATGTAAAATTACAAAATCTTTAAAGACTAATGCATCTATATATAATTATTTTTGTCTTCTAAGTATAAATAGATATATAAAGTTATTGCTAAATAGATAAGATAAGATGAATACAAGCATCCATATTGCATAACTTACATAGAATAATGGTAAATTTATAGCAAAATGTCTTAGAAAATAAAAAAAATTATTATATTAAAACAGAAGAACTTTTATTTATCATCAAGAAAAATATACTAAGTTGAAAAGCTTAATTAAAAATAAAGAATTTTTTGATAATTGTCAAGCTTGATTGCATTAATAAAAACCTAAATTGTGTTCTTCTGGTGTCTTAAAAACATATATTAAAGGGACAGTATTTGTTCAAATATTAGGACAAATTAAGAAAAATACTATTTTTAAAAAAATACATTAAATTTATATATACTGTATTTATAAGGATTCTAATATGATGAAAACAAAAAAAATGTCTATTATAATAAATATAAAAAGTCAGATGTAGCAGCTTATAGAAAAGAATAGCTTAAAAGAATATTATTTATAAAAATCTATAAAAAATTTTAATAATGAAATATTAGAAATCGTAATAAAACCTTAGCTTGAACCTGGTTAAAAAAAATTAGTACAAATAATAAAAAAAGTTTTTTAAATCTTCATAGTCATATTACTATCAGAGATATAAAATACTAAACCTACTAGTAACTTATTTGTAAATTAAATTATATTCATATTTGTGTTATTAACTGTTTATCATCTTAAATTATTTTAATATTATTTAAATATATAATTATAATAATACAATATTATATATTGTTAAGATAATGCATAATGAATGCTATTTTTATGTAAATGATGACCAACAAAGAATATTAATTGAAAAAAATGAAAATATTTTAAATTTGTCACTCTATTATAGTTTTGGCCTTTCTTTGTTCATGTTATATATTAATAAGACTATCTAATAAACAAATAAAAACAAATTCATATATAAAATATAAAAAAACATTTATTCTTTGTTTTATATAATTAGATGAATATTAAAAATTAGAGCATATGTTGGAACAACTTGTGCAACAAGCAATTTCCATCTTTGAAATACTTTATTCTGGCTATGTTGGAGTTTTTTGTTTTAACCAATCAACAAATTACAATGCAATGACAGAAAATGCATTAGTTATAACAAAAATAAATCAGAGTTCTAGAAGATTACAATATAAATTGCATGATGGCTAGTACATCAATAAAAATAAAGAGAAAATCATACAGCCAATGACATTTTTAGATAATTATGAAATAAAAAATCTGCAAAGGCTGTTAAAAGAAATAAAGCAAGTATTTACAAAATGTGAATTATAATTATTAGGTGTTTAGTTGATATATGAAAAATGTTTTAAAAAAAATAAAAAAAATAATTCAGAAAGGTTAGGTTGTTGTGTATAAAAAATAATATTATAACAACCAGATTTTTGCTTGCAAAAATCAATTTTAGAAGAAGCAATTTTTTAAAAAAAAACATATTTTTAAATAGTACTCTAAATTTTATTGTAAGTATAATTTTATAAAAGATATTGAAGGTATGTAAAATATAAGACAAGAAAATTATACAAATATAATTATGCTAACTTAATACAACAAGTTTCTAAAGCCCTTATCAATGTTTCTATATTAAAAATTTAAAAATTTATATATAAATTTTGGAGATATATAAATGCCTATAATAGAGGTTTAGAAAAAAGAATTGCAAAATAGGTTGTTAATAAATATAAAACACATTATTATTTATTTAGAAATGTTGAAAAACAAATAGATTTTGAATAAAATAATTATTAAGATAATCTTTTAATCTTTAGCAACTTTACTTTTTTTTATTCTTTTTGGTTTATTTTTTATTTTTTATAATTTGTTCTAAGTAGAGATTGTGTCTTTCAAAAAAATCTATCTGAGTATTATTAAATTATTTAATTATTTAGATAATTTATTATAATCATATAATAAAAATGTCTATTTAGGTAATGTTATTAGTTAAAATATCTTATTAAGTCAAACATTTAGACAATTTTATATTGAAATATATTTCAATATAGCATTACTTTTTTTGTTAAAATGTCAAAATTTTAAATTTGACTAAATATCTAAATAGTTGATTAAATAAATATTATAATAAAATAGTTAAATTATAATAAAAAGAGCTTGTATATTACAGATTCAAGTTATAAACATTTAGCACAGTGAAATATTGTGAAAAAAGTATTCATAAAAATATAAAAAAATTCTTTTTTTTTTTGGAATTAAGGTAAGGTTTTGCTTATATTTTTATTAATTTGTTAAAAATGCCTTTAGAGGCTTTTCTGAATATAAATTACAAAATCTATTTTAATTACAAATTTGTTATAAGAGTAAAGCTCAGACTATAGAGAAAAATTAACTGTTATCTATCTAATTTATTTGCAATCTAAATCTACTAAAGTGGTTAAAACTCACCTAGATTTGATAATTTAAAATATTGTTTGTAAGGTAGCTATAAAGTATCTAATAGTTAAGTTATAAATTAATTTTACATAAAGTGCAACCAAGTAGTAGACAAGTATTTAGACTAGTATGTTTTAAGCTTGATAGTCCACATAGATTGCAAGTTGTATAATGTAATTAATGTCTGTTAATATAATATATATTATTATAGTTAGTTTGTATAAATCTTCTTTGTTAGTTTTTGGTATATTGTAGAATGTTGTTATCATTTTTTCATTGTGTCAGTTTTGTACAATATGGTTTCATAAACTTTTTGAAACAGCTTATATAGGAGTTTTGTAGTAATATTTTTTGCTTCTGTTTGTAATTGAGTAAATAGTCTAATTGATAAAATAAGGCTATTAGATATGTATTCTTGTAATGTTATGTAAATATTAGTTTGTTGTGAAATTATGTTACTAAAAAAAAAGCTATTGTGTTGTAAAAGTATTTCTTGTAGTTTATTAATTTGAGTATTAGCAATATTAGTAATATGAGTAATTATTTTTATTATTGTTTCTTGAATAAGATTGGTAAGAAGTATAGAGTTTGAACAAAGAATCCAATGTAGTGAATGTTCAGATATATAACATGTAATACAGCTATTGCTAGTTATTACTTCTGAATATAAGTTGTGAAGATGGAAAAGAGTAGGTAGTATATTAAGTTGTAGTTTAATTTTAAAGAATTTATTATTGCTAAGTGTAAAGTTTGTATATAAGCTAGTTCTGTTAATATTGTTATTTAAGTATAGCCAAGTTGCTTTCTAGTTAATTTGTAAGAATAGAGAAATAATGTTGTTTATTTAATTTTGAGATAACCATATAGCTATTATGTATGCATTGCAGATATTTTTGATTGCTTATTAGGTAGAATGTTTAATAATATATTGGTTATATTGTATAGTATATAAAATATTATAAATATTGTTGTATCATATATCCAGAAAATTTGTTGAGTAGTGATTTGATATGAGCTTATTTGCTTCATTATTAAATATGTTGTCTTTATAAGCTAATACTTTATAAAGTGTGATGTTGTATTTGTATGATCTAATCAAATTGATAATTATGTGTCATATTGGTCAATAGTTATAAGAATATTGTTTGTGCTATGGTATTATGTTATTAGTAATTTTGTTAAATTTAGAAATTACAAATTATGAGTTAGTATAAATTTGGATATTGCTGTTTCAAGGGCATGTGCATATAGCTGATAAAATAACTACTAACTCAGCTTTGTATGATGATGGCCAGAATTTAATTTGAAAAGAATAAGTTTTAATAATAATATTGTTATATATTTGTATTTATCTAATATTTATTGAATATCTATTAGTAGTAATATTGATAACAGATCTATTAGTATAAAAAGTAAAGTTGATATGTTGGGTATTTTGGCTTGCAATTTGTTGTAATTTAATAGAAGATAAATTGGTATAAAAAATGAAAGAGATTGGATCTTGTGATAAAATAATAAATAGAAGTATGGGAATTCTAGTAGAGTTGCATAATGCAATTGAGTATACAAGATCTGTATAATTTGCATTAAGCTTAAGTTTGTTTGTAAAATTTTGTTGTTTTCTTTCTAAAAATTTTGTAAAAAGAGTAGCAGAAATGTCAAATATACAGTAGTTTAGTATTTTGTTAAAGTCATATAAGCATCTTGTACATAGTATACAATTAACTGATAAGAATAAATAGAGGTTTGTATTGAGTGCATTTACTTTGATTGTCTAGTGTATAATGGATATAGTGTTGTTGTTTTGGTTATATTAGCATGCTTTTTCTATTATTAATTGTTTA